TGCAATCACTCCCTTTGCTACTTTTAACTTACTTTTATGCTGATAAGTCCAGACAAATTATTTAAAGTATCAGCCTTTTCCCAAAATATCAATACTAGGTCTTCAAAAACAATTATGCCAGTAACATTCTTTTTTTTAAAGATGAAATCTTTTAAAAACCTTACTTGAACAATAGAAAACAATTGGCTTTTTCCTCCATTCATTCCATACTAATTAACTACTTGGAGAAAGGTGCTATTAGCATGACCACATTATTTTATCATTCTGAACAGCTTCAGATATAATTGCAGATATAAGATATCCAGGAGAGGTCTTATGGTAAGACAACTGAAGCCATATTCTTAAACAGCAGATACTAAAAAGATCTTTCTTGGCATTGAACTACTACAATATATTTGTTTATTAGACTTTTATGGGACAGATGTAATATTCTCCCAGGGCTGAGTTTCTTATTATCATTAAATTGATCACAAGCTATGGTATTTTCATTCTGCTAAAGATATACTGCATTGATCTACTACACCTGCCAGCATGAATCTAGTCACTGATGGCCTGTGTTATATTTATCCATTTTCATCTTACCTCAGGTTAAAAATACCTGCCTGTTTATTCAAATCCTAAGTGGGATCCTTTATGGTCCCGGGAAGTAGACTCATCTGAATCGTCCAGAACCATTGAAAAATGAGTTAAATTAGGAACCACGTACTTCTCCAAAATGGCATTCCAACACAGCTTTCATTAACCCAGAGCCCTCCAAATCTATTTAAGGTCAAGACAACACTAGTTGGGGATTATGAAAATCCTTGTACACTCCAGAGAAAGAAATTTCTTGCCAAAGTTAGCTGCCACCAGAGACATTAAGTGTGGTATGAAGGCTGCTGTGAAGAGCTGATATCACATTTTTACTCTCATGTGTGAACTCCTTGTCACATAGAAATGCCTCCAGCACTCTGAAGGTGATGATAGATAGATAGATGGATGGATGGATGGATGGATGGATGGATGGATGGATGGATGGATGGATGGACGGACAGACGGACAGACAGACACAGACAGACAGACATGATAGGCATATATACTGTGTATATATATACATATATGCTAAACTGGGTGGGGCATGGCCAGAGCATAACATATCCAACCCATGGGCCACAAGTTTGACAGTCCTGATATAGACAGATATATGATAGATAGATAGATAGATAGATAGATAGATAGATAGATAGATAGAT